TTGCTGGTGAGATGATTTGCAAAGTGAAAAGCAAATTTCAGGTTTTATTCACTTGAAAATGATCTAACAACTGCATTCCGGGCTGTCTGAATTTACATAAGTCTCATTAACGTCCTCTAAATTTCACGTGACCTTGTTTATGCTCCTGCTGATATATTCATATAAAGGGTCTATTAAGAGCTACGACAAGACTACAAGCTCAACAGAGTCGGGAGATGGCGCTACAGGGTGGGCCAGCACTATTCCTCACTGGTTATAAATAACGATATATTCCACTCTGTTATCTGCCTGTGGCTTGTCTGCCCTCTAAATTATCTGCGGTCAATTTTTAATGCTGAACTGGCTTCCTGCTACTATCCAGCTGGTGTGTGCGCTCAAGGGATATAAACCAGTGTTAGCATTTGCTTTAAGAAAACACAATTAGCCAGGCAAGCTGCTCTTGTGGGGCATGGGGAGGTGGGGCATATTCACATGAAACGTGCTAAGGCAGAGAACTGGCATTTTCATAGTCTCTGTTTTGTGTTATCTGTGCTGCTGTTCTGATTAATCTGAACAATTGAAACTTGAGACACTTCCAGCTTTTAAGACAAGATCTCCAAGTACTTTCGGAAACAAAGTCAATACGGGACTTTTAGGAGGTGTTCAAAATATTATTGCCTGGAACGCCCTTCGCTGATTTCCTATGTCTCAGGTAGAAATTAGCTTCTCTCATAGCAGCTTCACCACTTCTTTATATTTATCTGCTGCAGGCCTGTTTTCCACACTAGAATGTAAGCAGTTTGAAGGCAGGGATTATGTCTTACTAATCTTTTTATCCACAACACCCAGCACAGTTTCTGGCACAGCAGGCATTCGGGAAACCTTTGTGTAATAAATGAATAATGAATGAGTGAATGATCACAACCCAGCTCCTGAGTGGAATCAGGCCTCTGTCCTCGGATTGTACTGCTATTACACACCCTTCACATGTGGTTGTTTCTAGTTCTGTGGAATGAATGCATGAATCATTGTCCACTTAAGGATGGGAGCGCCAGCATTTCTCAAGAGGATGTTCTGTTTTGTAGCGTGCATGCATGCACACACATAAAGAGAGGAATACAACAGAAAAGTAACAAAGCAAGGGAGAAGATTCTGATGAGATCCACATCCAGGCACAAGGAGATCATGGGAGGGGAGGAAGAGCACTGAAGATCTGGAACTTGGGTTTTCTGACACTAGATGGACAACAAATCTGGGTCTCAATGACCTCACCTCTAAAATAAAAGATTTGGACTAGATCAACTTTTCCCAAATTGTGTCCCACTGGACACCACTGTCTACAATGTGTTCACAGCTCTTCTGGAACAACCAAAAACCAACCAAACAACCAACTCTGTGTAAAACTAAATTAAACAGGAATACTCAGAGTCCATGAGTAAGTGCAGATTGAGTCTGAAAGGTCTTAGAAAATATGTGGCTTCTGTTCTCCAATGTCCTCTATGATTATTCAATCAGCACTCCTGTCCAAGGAAGTCCACGGGCCAATATTACTTTTTCCAGCCTTATTTGATAATCAAACCACTTTGCTCAGAGACATCTCTAGACATCCATGGGACACTGGGGTCCTGGACCGGTGGTTCTTTCCTCAGAGGAAAACAACTTTGAGGTGATGGGAGTTCTGAGTCATGTTCTTATTTTGTCAAGGTGTTAATTAGTCACATTTTAAAACACTCGCTATGTTTCATCAACATAATAGAAAAAGAGCAGAGACTTAGAAATTTGAGGTAATATTGTAGGTAATCAGTAGGAAAAAACCTTCACCACTCACTTGTTGTTTGTCTACACTTATCATGTTCACTGATAATGGTCAGGTTACCAATCCCTGTTAAGTGTAGACCAAGTCAGACAGAGGCCTTGGAGAATATGTGACTTCTGTAACATCTACTATGATTGTTCAGTCAGGAATTCTACCAGAGGAAGCCCTTGGGATCTTCCAATGTGAAGATCTCAAAGGAGGATGAAAAAGATAAAGAGTAGTATATTTATCTTTTATTGCCACAAGCCTTCCTCGTCTCTGTTTCAGATACAATGTTATCAGCATTATTATCAACAACAAAGGATTAATAACTGTCTACAGGGTGAAAAGTGTCCTGGATACAAACACATGGAATGGGAAAGGGAGAAGGAGAGGAAGGTGACGAGTATTTATTGAGTAGCTCGTACATGTTAAGCATTATGCTGGGCATTTTGCAACTGCACTGGGAGTCGTCAGTATCATCATCTCACTTTTACACATGAGAAAACTGAAGTTCATGGTGACATGAGGGTCATCAGCTGGTACGAGGCAGAGCCTGGATTCAAATCCTGATACGCCATGGCATTGAAATCCATAGGCTTTCCATTTTATTCTGCTCAGAGGAGAGGGCACACACCTAGGGAGAATTAACACTAGCAAGGCTTAACATCTAACTAAGTCTCCCAGCCTGTAAGATAAGAGGAGAAGACATCATGGTTTGGGGGGTCAGGGAATCAGATAAGATGTAAGGTTTGAGCTGATCTTTGAAGAAGCAGAGGATCTAGAGGCACATTTAGGATAACAATTAAACCAAAGAGCCTCACTACTTCTGGTGCTTTGCAGATCTGTGACCCCACAGTGATCTCAGAAAGAAATGAGAGGGCTTGAAGGGCCAAGTTCAGGGTTGTCCCAGGCTCCAAAGGTTCAGGGGGTGTGTCACAGCCAGTAGAGACTCATGGTCCTCAGGACCTGAGTGCTATAGACTGCATGTTTTTGTCCCGCCCAAATCCCTATGTTGAAACCTAATCCCTAATGTGTTGGTATTTGGAGGTGGGGCTTTTGGGAGATGCTCAGGTCATGAGGGTGTAGCCCTCATGAATGGGATTAGTGTCCTTATAAAAGAGACCCCAGAGAACAACCTCCTCACTTCTGCTATGTGAGGACACAGCAAAATCTGGCTATCTATGAACCAGGAAGCAGGCTCTCCCCAGACACTGAATCTTCTGGTGCCTTGATCTTGGACTTCCCAGCCTCCAGAACTGTGAGAAATAAATTTCCGTTGTTTATAAGCCATCTAGTCTATGGCATTTTGTTATGACAGCTTGAACAAACTGAATAATAAAATTATAAACATTACTGGGTTCCAAATGTTGCTACGATGGGCTACTTCTACTTGAGCTCTCTGCAGCATATTTCATGATCTGGCCTTTGTGGTGGCTCAAATAACGTCATTATATTGTGAAAAAAAGACATGGAAGCTCAATTGGAAAATGGGCAAAAAGAATTGTCAAGAAGGCTCTAGTAATCATACATTTCTGTTCCCTCTGCTTTCTTGCATTTACTATATTTTAAATTATTCCAGATGGACCCTAATCAGGACTGGTCTTCCATGTAATATAGCTGGGAAGTTCTGGTGAATGCTATGGAATTCTTTCTCCTTCCTTGGAAATAATATTGGTTTTATGTTTCCATATGGCAAAGTCAGCAGGTTCCGGTTAAGTCTAATTGCTGGCCCCTAAGCAGCACCTGTTCATTTGTCTTTTACAGTGTTTATGAGCGTTCTTCTGTGGCATTATCCCACCTCTCAGAGTATCATTTGAATAATGTCACGTCAAATCTTTAAGTAAGTCATACAGAATTTGGAGTCTGAGTTTTGGGTCACAGACGCACTGCTTTCAAAATGTTGAACCTGTGCCACTTTAACAGACTCCCCATCCCTGACCGTTTTCATTGAGTATGCCTACAAATAAAAATTGTTCTTAAAGCTTGCTGTATATTTTTTCTAAATGACCAACTGGCACTACCTGTAACAGAGTCAAGGCTTGGAAAATGGTTACACCATGTGACTTTAGAAGTAGGTGGGATATTTTACAGAGAGTCTCATCTGGGAGTTTTTAAACTGTGCTCTCTGGAGCCTAAGGGATTATCTGGAGCTGTCACAGGGAATACAGGGCTCCAGGTCTCCATCTTACTATGAAAAAGTAGCTCCTCCATTATCTATTTCAGTTATTGGAATTCCTTGTAAGATTTCATTTGAAGAATGGTTCCATAGCTATATGAAAGTCTGCAAGCCACATATTAGTCTAATCCCTTTATTCGAGGTGAGAAAAAAGGTCTAGAAAAGGCAGATAGCTCTCTTTCAGGTGGAATACCAGTGGCAAACCCTAGACTGGACCCTACTGTGCTCATTCCCCATCCTGTAGTCTTCCTGCTCTGCAATAATGTTTATCAAAGGTTGGATTTATTTGAGGTTCTTGGGTCATAGTTACAAAATTTTAGACCCTGAAGGAACTTGTGTTTTTTTCAATATTGTCCTCACATAATTTGTTTTGTGCTTACAGCACTGTCAATATATTAAACTAGATACACAGAGCAGGCTAAGATGGGGCAGGAAAAGGAAAATGGTCAAAATGCCTATGACTGTTAATGATTTCTGTGAACTTCAGTGTGCATAATACTATTTTTGATTTTCAATATCATCACCACCCTTCTAAGCAGTCTTCTCTGAACTGCAGAGTGATAAAACATGGAAACTACATTTCTCAGATTCCCTTGCCAGAGGGTCTTGGTTAGATTCAACCAAAGAGGGCAGGAAGGCAGAAGGAAAGAAGAAGCTATTATCTTCTTATAAGCATGACTGGACAGCTCAGGTAGGATTTGCTGGTGGCTTAATTTAGAACGTCTTCCTAGGAATAATCCACTTCCGTGCTATAGGCAGCTAAGGTAATTGGCAGTGACTTCTAACTGCATTGCAGGTCTTTTGGAGAATCAACCGTGTTTGTGCTGCAGAAGCTGAGACTACCGATGGTGTCTGCCCAATGATCCTATATTTCTGGGTTTCCTGAAAGTAGCTTTCTTGAGCTGTGCTCTCTTGACTTTCCAATAGCCTCATGTCCTCTAATGCCCTGTATTATACTTCTTTCTGCTCAGAATGTCAAGAGCAGTCTCTGTTTTCTTGATTGAATCCTCATAGTTTCAGAAATTGATTTCTTCAACAGAAGTGGCATAAGGAGGATGTAGGTGGGTGGCAAGGAAATTGATATCTGAAGCTGGAAGGAGACAGCTTCAAATGTCTTATTTCCATGAGGCCATCCTCAGATGTGGCCAAGGAGGATAATAAACCAAGAGGAGCCTCTGTGGGCAGAGCCAGGGGCCCTGGAAAACAATGGGCAGAGGAGTTCCCTCCAGAGAACAGAACCCAGTTTAATTGAGGGTCTTTCCTCACCCCAGGGTTGGGGGTCCTTCAGAGTATTTGCTCAATGGGACTTCAAAATTCTTACAGTTCAGTGACTGACTTGGGACTTCCCTTCTTGCTCTTCCAAATGGGAGGGTTTGCTGAAGCTGTCCTTGATGTGTTTCCCCATTGCTGCGGTGTATGTGGTGGTGGCAGTGGGGCAGGCAGCTTTTCTTTTTAGCTCATAGGTTGTCAGATCAAGTGGAGTCTCATTTAGACCTGATGGAGGAGTCTGTACCTTTCCCAGACATCTGTAGCTCAGCTTTAGACTCCATGAGTGCACAGAACTTTGAATTGTCCCTCTTGGGAGAGGTGAGTGAGTTTTATATGTCAGAGGAAGATTGAAATGGATATTTGCTGACTAGAAGGTAAAACTGAGGCAGGGACCTGCCATAAGCTTAGCAATCTTATTTATTTTTTCTTGAGCACAGTGAAGATTCCATTTCCCAGTTGCCTTTTCAGTTTGGTTGGTGCATCCAATTGTTTTCTGGACAACAGAATGTGGGCTGAAATGATGTATATCACTTCCAGGTATTGTATGAAAGTCCCCGTGTGATCACCGACTCTTTTCTCCTTTAATGGCAACTGTATCACCCCTGTTGAAAAAGTTAATATCTCAGGATGAAAGGAGTATGGAATTTGGGTCATTGCTCTAAGAAGAGCCACCCCAGGAGAGCCTCTTGATCCATGTCAGCCTATGACATAAGTGAGAAGCAAACCTTTACAGGGATAAATTACCAAGATTTTTGGATTATTTCTTGTCCTGACTGATTCCTGAAGGGATTTAATAATATAATTAGCACAATTTTTAAGGATTTTTAATCAGGGTAAACCAGAATGTCTAATATCTACCACTGTTAGAAGATCATGGCCTAATTCTTGGTGTTTTCAAGTAGAGGTTTGAAGATGTTTTAATTCTGGGATACATTGTTAATTTCCTGATAAATATGCAGGAAGGGGGCATTTTCTCTATTCCCACACCCACAGATAGACATTTTTGCATTTGACGGTGAAGGAATAGGTCTTAGAAAAGAACTCCCTTGACTCTGATGGTCGTAAGTGAGAAACAAGAGAAGGACGTGTTCACAGAGCTCCCGAGAAGGATCAAGCTTCTTTTGTGCCAGGTGTTTTGTGCCATCCCACTGCAGATGGGGACTTCAGGACACTGCAGTCAAGTCCTGACCTCGAGGAATAAGTGTGAGACTGTGGGTTGAGGGGAAGCAAGGAGGAAAGGGTACAGGAGGCCAGCTTGGGTTAGTGATGCAGATCTTAGGGATACATTTAAAAATGCTACACTTGTCACCCAAAGTCCCCTACTTAACAGTGAGTCGTGAGACTCACAACAGAACTTATAGTCTAGGCATGAATTGATACCTTGTCTTTTAAAGAACATAATGTTTATGTTTTCCTTAATAAAAAATGCAGTATTTGTTAACTATAGAAGATTAGGAGTTATAGAAAAGCATAAAGTAGAAAAAAATCATAATCCCCAACCCAGGAAATAATCACTATTATTTTGCTATAGTTCTTATCAATCTTTTAAATTAATATACACATATTGCATGCCAAAAACAAAGTTGATGTATATCCTTTAAAAGTACTTTGTATTAACTAGTATAGGCCAGGTTATGCTACAGTGACAAAAGATCCTCAACTCTCAGTGGCTTATAATATCAAAAGTTTACTTCTCATTCATGCCACATGTCCATTGTAGATCAGCTCCAGCTGTGCTCCACATCATTTTCATTCCAGAGACCCAAGGTAAAGCAGCAGCCTCTGTTTGGAACTGGAAGCAAGAAAAGGGAATATCATGCACTGGCCCTTAAGCTTCTGCATGGAAGTGACACATGACACATGTCATTTCTGCTTTCACTTTATCTTGGAAAGCAAGTCATATGGCCAAGTTCAATATCAATGAATAAGAAAATATAGTCCTCTCAGGGAAAGGCAGCAAATATCTGTGAACAATAATGCCTATGTCACTTAGCTAGTTTAATGTTCCATGCTCCTTCGCAAGTACTTTTTGTTGTTGTTACAAAATTTATGTGCTATTTTATCAGTGTGAGAATTTTTGCATATCTCCTACCTTTAGTTCTTCCCAACTTTGTTCTCATTGCCATAGGAAGGAAATGGTAGGGGATGGGATGGAGACCCTACCACCAAGGGAAACAAATTATCCATAAATAACAATGTCTACAGGAAAATTCTAGAAGTTTATAGAAGTAAATACAAAACATAGAAATATCGCCAGCAAAAAATTTAAATTAAATTCTCAATTCAAAAATTAACTTATTCAACAGAAATCTTCAACAAATGGAGATCCTTACCTGGCTTCTCCACGCTGAGAGAGGGACAGTTTCCTGGCACTATGGCAGCCCTTTCTAGCAGCTGGTTCAAGGGTCCATATGTAATCAGAGCTAGTGTTTTGGGTTCAGATGCCCACATCTACCTATCTCTGTCAGCCTCCCACCTTCTGCTCTCAAAGGCTCTGCCTAGGGGGGCAGGATGCAACTTCGTAAATCTGAAATCACCTGCTCATTTTCTCGGTACCCAGCTGTTCACTGACTGGTTTAAGAACAGAAGGAAAATGTCCGTTTTCCAACCTCCTGTGCTTCTGGCCCTCGGCTCCATGGGCATCACCTCCTGTGCTGAGGAGGGCATGAAGCTCAGCCACCATCCATTATGTCCTCACCAGGGCCCACAAGTGTCTGCCCAGAGACAGGGGAACATTCATAAAGCTATGTGGCACCTCCCACTGCTGCCCCTTCCCCTGGATTTCTAATTGGCATGCTGAACGCCTGGGCAGCAGAGACTGTCCCTGTGCTGCATTCATTTTCAGCATAGCAGAGATCCAATTATTCATAGACGATAACAAATCATGCTTTTCCTTATCTTGCAAGTGTGGTTTGACTTCCAAGTGCGCCCCCGGTGTGCCCCATTGAGCCCCCTCTGCTCGACTTGTCAGGAGGTCTCCTTTGTGTGGAGCCCCAGGTTTGGGCAGCCAACAGCCACCTTGGCTTTGCACCATGTTTTGTTCTTAGCCTGTGTCCCATGTTCACTGTCCCTGCTGTCTCTTTTTCTAGTCAGCTTCAGGGGTTGTTTGCTTCTAATTACTATTCAGTAAAGACTGTACATGTTTTGCATTTAATAAACTACTGAACACACAAGGCTCCTTCCTGAGCTGGAGTGGACTATGGTGTTTGCTAGATCGACTGACCTCTCCAGAAGGAGTGACTGACCCTCTTGTCTCCCACTGTCTCTGCCGGACTCTTCCCAAATGCACACAACTCTGAAACACAACAGTGTCCTCTAGCATTTTGTTTTCAGTCCAATGTCTTTCTAACTTTTTAATATACCAGAGGCCGAAGAAAGACTTCCCAAGCAGTATGATTTCTTGATTTGAATGCAAACACCAGAAATGGAGTCAGAGTCCCTGTCTACAGTACACACACCCACGAGTTTGACTTTTCTCTTTTCAAATGTATTGCCTTCAGGGAATGCAGTGGAAGAAGAGAATTCTAATAGCACTGCCTGCAGACATGGGGGCTTCTTAAATTTGGTGTCAATGGAGGGAAGATAGATCTGGAATGGTGTGAATATGGGGTTCAAGGATTGAATGGGATTAGCCTTGATGCATTTTATGATACTTTCAGCCCTGAGACTCTATGAATCCATGTACTATGTTGCTTAGTCAAAACGAGCTAAGAAGGAAAAAGCAAACAAGGACGCAATTCCTAAGACAAATTGTCCCCTTCCGTTAGTCAGCGCTCTATTCAGATAGCTAAAGAGTAGCCTTCTGAATTCGTGGAGTTTATCTTTGGCTGCAAGACAAGCAAACACTGGGCCTGGAATCAGGAGAGAAGGAGGGGGAACAACAACAAAAAGACCCCCTGCCAGGAGTGTAGAGGGGCAGACGGGGCAGAGCCAGGCTCCTGACTGGCACTGCAGGGTTCTGGGGCCTGGGACAGCTGTGGACCCCATCACCTCCAGAGGGAGGGTTTGTTCTACCCCTGGCTTCCTGGCTCCTGCTCTCCCTGCACATTCTCTCCAGCTGAGTTCATTCTTGGCTGGTCCTCTCTTAAAGGCAAGAGAGCCAGGTGCTGGGGTGGAGCCAGGTTAGAGACTGGAAGTTCATCCACCTTTGTGATATCAAAGCTAAGAGGGAAATGTGAGATAGAAAGCTTAAAGGGGACTTGATTCCACTCTGGAGGTGAGCTGTGGAGGCATTGGGTTTTAAGGGAGCAAGACGGTAACTTAAAGAATGTTTTTTTGAAAGTTGGTGATTTTCTACATCTGCCAAATCAACACATCCGCGTTTATTGGTGGATGTTTGCTGTTAGCTCCTCTTTGGCTGTGTGTAAGAGGAACAAATGGCTTTTGTTGCGTGTGAAAGATTTATCAAGATCCTTGGCCACCCTGTTGCATAAGGACTGTACTCCAGGATTTGTGTGGAGTAGCTGTGAAAAAACAGGCTTGATCTCTTTAACCCTGTTAGTGTAGGGTAGAGAGGGAATAGAGCCATGTATTAAGCTATCATAAAATAGCAAAAGCTAAAGAGCTTCCTGGTGTCACAGGAAACTTGAAGATAAAAGTTCTGACCAGTCTGGATAAGTTTCTCTCTCTCTCAAAACTCCCAAAATGTAGCTGATGCACACTCTTCTCTGGCCCCCAGCCTAACTAGATCTAGTCTTGACCTGCCACTCACTCCCAGTCATTAACTCTTCCCAATATAAATGGGTCTATGCTCTCTGATTACTCCAGTTGGCATCTCTACATCTCAAACAGAACACAAGTCTAAGCATCCAGTAATCCAGGACTGTCCTTGAAAGGCTGGGTGGCGGATACATTATTTTCTAATTTTTTTACAGGTATTTTCAGGGAAACAGAGGTATTGGTTTTATAGTGCTAGCCAAGAAAGACTGAATTACTGATGTAAGATTAATATCAATTGTGTTAAAAAGCTCCAAGTAGAAAAAAAAATTCTTTGACTAGATTTTAACATGTCCAATAAGCATAAATAAGATAGAAGGATAGAAGTTACAGAGAGACATAATTTGGATCAAAGAATATCTTTTTGATAATAGAGCTGTTCCAAGATAAAATGGATTGGCCTGGCTGATGGTGGGCTCCCCTCATTTAAGGCGTGAAAGCAGAGGCTAGGAAAGTATTTGTTCATTAACTAGTTTTAAGGTATAAAAACAGCAATGAGCGTTTTACTTCATTAACTAAGGTGTTCTTAATTTGTGAATCCCTAAACTTGAACATAGAATTATTTTTACATGTACGTTTTTGGAAGAGATTTTTTTCTTTATTTTTTATCACAACCTCTTTTACATGATAAAGCAATTAATTAGCTCTCCATGTAAAGAGTTCACCTCTGCATGTAAAGTTTCCAATTAGCCTTTATGGCTCCACCCTTAAACGCTTTTCTGCTAAGGATCAACAGATATTTTAGGATAACTTCTAACATCAAAGACGGAAATCAGAATAAACAAAGAGTATAGAGACAATAACGCAGGGAGAAGAAGAAAGGGAAAAAACCCAATAACAACAACAACAAAATAACTCACTAATATACTCAGAGAACTGAAAAATATATTTCATGAAACAATGAACTGGGGGCAATATAAAAGGAACGTTTAGAGGAAAAAAAGGAGCTCCTGGGAATTAAAATTGTGATGGCAGACTTGAAAAATTCACAAGAAGACAAAAGTGAGAAAATATTGAGAAAGTTGAAAGAGAGGACAAAGAAATGGAAAACAGAGGAGGAAAAAAAAAGTAAGTATTAGTCCAGGAGATCCAACATTTGAATAAAAATGAGACCTGGATAAAATAGAGGACGTCATCAAAGAAATAATTCAAGGAAAAATTTCTAGACCCAAAGTACATTAATTTCTATGTAGGAAAGTCCTAACAACTATGCCCTTTAATCTATTTTTTAATAGATTAAAAGAATATCCATGCCAAAGTATATAAGTATGAAATTTCAGAATACTGGATCAGAGAGAAGATTCTAAGTTTCCAATAAAGAAAGAAAAAAGACCCAAACAGGTCACATACAAAAGACCGGAAATCGGAGCAGAATTCAACTCTTGAACAGTAGAATTGAGTAAACAGTGTGTTAATATGTTTATTTATGATAAAGGGAAAATTACTTCAACCCATAATTTTATACCCAGCCAAACTATCAGTTAGATAGTGGTAGGAGTGGTATGGGTGGTGGGGCTAGTGAGAGGGTGGGAGCAGGAGAACAGAGACTTTTTCATACATTCAAGATACTGTGCCAACAGTGGCAAATGTCTAGACAGCATACATACCAGGGCTGCTAGAGCAGTGTTCACTGAGGAAATTCATGGTAGCAGCACTAGTAGGAGGTGTGAAGTTCTTCCACTGCCCATCATACTCCGGGGAAGAGCACAGTCTGACAGAGCTAGATGTCAGACTCTGGAGAAAGTACTCAGATACTTGGGCTTTGGGGCTTTTAAACTCCATAATCGGGGAAGCATCAGTACATCATCTGTGCAGTCAGAGGCCAGGATATAATGGTAGTAGTACTTGGCAGAGACTTATCTCCAGCTCTCTTCTGCCAAGACGCTATCTTTAATTGGATATAGCACCAATGTCTCCCCTGGAGTGGTCAGGGGCCCAGGATCCAAGTCTTGAGGGTCCAGCTGTATGAAGAGGCAAGTAGTGGTGGACCTGAAATCATTACCATTCATGTTTAGTAAAGTACCAGCCTTTCTCCTGGAATGATTGGAGAACTGGAGTCCAAATGTTGTTGATGACCGAAATTGATCACCTGAAGCACCAGGCATACCCTGTTTAAATTGAGCTTTGAAGGAAGACAACACATTCTTGGAGGTCAGTTTGTAGGTTATCCGTTTTGGAGAAGTTATCTTTTTCCTCTCAGAAGAGCTCAAGGAGTTTACCACATGCACCCTTTCTGAGGAAACTCCTGGGTGATGTGCTCCATCCTATTGAGGAAATAAACCAAGAAAGAGGAAGACACACAATCCAAGAAAAAGGGGATAACACACAACAGAGGCAAAGATAATTGCCTGGATGACAGTGAAGGGAGATCCCCAGGACAGCTAGGAACAGCTAGAAATTTTCATATCCTACACAGAAGTTCACACAGTGAAAAGGAAAACAAGACCACGGGTTTGGAGTTGTTTGTCTTACTACCATATGAAAAATAAATATATTTCCCCATCTGGAGTCACTAGCCGTATTTTTTCTCTTCCAGTTTTTAAATCACTGACATGAAGCAAGGAGGGAAAATCCAAAGTTAAATACAAATCTAGCCCTGCATCAGGAGGCTCCTTCCTTGGTCCTCAAAGTTCTTAGAGCTGTTCTTAGTTCTGTCCAGACTCTTGGCTCCCTTGGCAACCCCACTCCCTGAGAGGAGCCAAGTATCCTTTGTGGTTAACTTTCCAAGGAAATTTGGGGAGAATGACATCAGCAGAAGAGTCAGATTAGATAATGTGAAACAGCTGCCTTTCTCCGCCTACAGATCAACTCCTTTCTAGAGTAAAGGTTTGCAACCTTCTGCATGAACAAAAATAACCCGGAGAAATTTTAAAAATATGTATACAGATTCCTGGCCTCAGTTGCAGAAGGTTTGATTCAGTGGGTCTGACTTGAAGCCCAATTGTCTGCATTTTTAACATATAAGTGGTTGAACTATGGACTCACCTTAGAGAAAACCTACCCTAAAGGCTGGGCTCCCAGGATCCAGAAGATCCACTTATGATGGAATCTCATGAGCATACTCCATTCTCAGTAACCCCAGCAGCAGGGAACCCGCTCTTGGTGAATGGTTCACATTTCTTTAAGAATAATATGGAGCTCTTCTAGTTTGAGAAGGAGCCTGTGAGGAAGAGAACCATCTCACATGTCTGCTGAGGGCTGTGTTATAGTCCTAGAGGAAGCTTCCACAATGTTATGACACTAGTATACGGATAAGTTAGTGACATAAAAGTGATCAAGCAGAATTACAAGTAGGATTCCCAGGAAAAGTAATCTTGTTTTCAGGCTACGTATCTGAATAACACTTGTTTGGTTTCAACAGAGGGCTCAACTCTTTTCTTGTCTTAATCTTCCAAGACCAAGTTTTTCATGAAGCCATCACCACCACACCACCACCACTGCTGCTGTGCTCCCACAGCACCCCCAAAACCTCATGCTCCCTCGGATCTTGGTGCTTCAGCTAAAGCACTTATTTTCTGCTTTGTATCATAAGGTCTTTGTAAATGTATTTATCTCTCTAACCAGATTACAGACCCTGTAGAGGTGGGAAAATATCTTTTTAATCTTTATGTCAACTATACGAAGTACCCGATGGGTGATGACTTAGAAGGTGATCGATGTATCACTAGTGACTCAGTTAAATTATATACTTTTTCCCGTCTTTCTGCCTCATAAAATACAGCGAATATAATTCATAGTAATTTTGATGTTTACATAATATTTAAAAATTAATATTTTTTCCAGCTATGGAAGATTTTCTTTCTTTTACCAAGAATATAGTTTCAAAATGAAAATAAATTTTGGAATAACAACTTCCAGAAATTTAACTGGATTATATCTACATTTTTATTTTGAAAAAAGATAATAATGAATTATTTCTTAGTTTTTATTATGTTCCTAGAACCCATTTTTTCTACTTTTACTAATACAATAATAATACATACTAATAATACTAGATACCCAAGGTGAAATTGGGAATTGAGGAAATTGGATAATTCATGCTTCCAAAACTTTTCTTTAGCTCCAAATATAGGAACCTTAGGTGAAAGGTGTTCTTTATTTTCTTAGGCCTCAATTATCCACTTTTCCATGTTGACACATATAAAAGATCATACTTTGTCACACAACAATCAACTCTCAATATTTGTGCATATTGGACTGCCTTACACATTACTTCGGAGCCTCTCAGCCTCACCTGTGTGGACTTCACCTGGCTTCATTCATGTGCATATCAACAGTCCCCACCTCTCCTCCTACCTCAACGCATCTCTATCAAGGGAGTCACCACGGAACTGTTCGGTGCCTACACATATGCAACCTAGAAGTACGGGGTAATTAAAGCCCCATGTGCAAACCTCTGGCTAATGGAAGGTGGGAGCTAAAGCATAACTTTTTCCCGTGTGCTCCCCTGGAATGGACGGGTCTGAAATGCCATTTGAAATTCCAGGACTGGTTAATTGGTCCAGGAGGATCAATTCACCAGTTGCTTCTATGATGTGTCCTTGTACTGCCATTCCTTCTTTCCTCCCCATGTCCTTCACTCTTGCTGCCAAGGATCATACCGCTCAAGTACTCACACATAAGCCTTTGTCCCAGGCTTTACTTTCTAAGGAACCTAAGCAAAGATATGATGAAAGTTGAGAGGAGCAGTGATGAGATACCCAAAACTGTGGGGATTCTAAAGTTCCTTTGAACTTTTGAATTTTGATCTTTGAACTATTGATCTTTGAAATGCAACAGGTAGTATTTTTCTTAGGCTAAAATAAAAATATACTTTTGTTACCTGATCATACTCGCTTGGTGACCAAAAAAAAAGCCACTTTTGATTAAAATTTGGTCCCAGACTGTCCACAAAGTGGATAATCCACATTTAGATAATCTATGGATGACCATATTCACTCTAATGGAGGTGTTACCTAGAAAAATAAATATGAAAGATGGTCGTGCAGGACCATGAACAAGGGACTCAACCAAATCACCCATAAACATCTCTGTACGACCCTCTCATCTAAAAAGCAAGTACTTGGGGAAAAGCACAAGGCGATTATGACACCTAACAGGATTAACAATAATGAATGCTTGGTTATCATGCTTGATTGTCTTAAAAAGATTCTCTTACAGTTTGGATCTCAACAAGGTCTATACACTGCATTTGGAATGTCTCAGGTTTCCTTTAATCTATGACAATCCCTTTCCTCTTTGAAATGCCACTATTTGTTCAAGAAAAATGGTCATCTATCCTGAAGAATGTCCAGATTCTGAATGTGTGCCATTGTCCTATTGTCCTTCAAAATAAAATAAAAGGACAAAAGAAAACTCTAAAGTATCGCCAAAGGGCATTTTTTTTTTCCTTGATAAAGATTCTGTACACCTCATTCCTTTGGGGATTGGTAGTCCTACTTAGTAAAAGAATAGGTCAGTAATGAAATGTGTATTTTCCCATTACTGGGAATAATGGAAATTTTAACTCAACCTTGGCAGCTATACATTTATAAATTTTTAATAATTTTTCTGCTCATAGTTTAAGTAGAGAACCAATATTTTTTACACCAATAATGTGATGATTTTTGTTGCTGTCACCAGAATCCTAGAATTCTAGACTTATAGTGGTTCCTGGAGGTCATATACTCGAACAATTTCACTTTCCAGGTGAATAAATGTGGCCTCAGAGGTGCCAACTGACTCCACATCAACATCACCTAGCAGGTTAAGGGCAGTGGACCCAGATCCTAGACTCCTGATTACCCAGGCCTGTGAGCATCATAGTG